TGCCGGGACGAATATACTTGTACTGTTGAGTTCCCTTGCCGGGATAGAGTATTTTATGGTTAATCCCTCGCCGGAATTTTTGTCATGATTACTGTGAGCTGTATATTTGGAACGGGTTGTGCGCCGCAATATTTTTATTTATGTATACATATATGGATCGGGTTGCACGCCGCAACATGTATATTATTGGATCGGGTTGCACGCCGCAACACATACTATATTGGATCGGGTTGCACGCCGCAACAAATATATTATATTGGATCGGGTTGCACGCCGCAACACACACACACACACACATATACATATATATATATATATATATATATATATATATATATATATATATATATATATATATATATATATATATAATTGGATCGGGTTGCACGCCGCAACAAATATATTATATTTATTGGATCAGGTTGCACGTCGCAACAGTTATATATATATATACCTATGGATCGGGTTGCGCGCTGCAACAGTAGTGTTATTATATTGTTTTAGATACTGTACTGTTCCTTCACATTTGTTTAGTTTCTGCTAAGTTGAACTGTTTCCCCGAGGCATGTACCCCCTCCCTTTTAATTGCTTATTTCTTGTTTATTTTCTGCAATATATTGTATATCTGTACAGGTTTATTTAGTAGTCTGGTCCTAGCCTCGTCACTACTTCGCCGAGGTTAGGCTAGGCACTTACCAGCACATGGGGTCGGTTGTATTGATACTACACTCTGTGCTCTTTTGCACAGATCCAGGTCCCGGAGTAGCATTTGGTCATCATTGGGAGCTATCCTTCAGTCTGAGACTCCAAGGTAGCCCTGCTGGCGTTCGCAGGCCCGGCGTCTCTTCTTTCAGTTTTTATGTTCTGTTGTCATTATATTTGTACTCGAGACAAACTATGTTCTTTTCTTTCAAACACTTATTTGTAGTAATCCTAGACAATCCGTGGATGTTGTGACACCAGGTTCTGGTTAGAAGCCCGTGTTGGTCTTCAGGATGTTTTGGTTTTACATTTTATTTAAGACTTCCGCTAAATTTCATATTCCGCTGTAATTTATTTGTTTATTTTCGGTAATTTAATTGGTTAAAAAGGAATTAAAAACAAAAAGAGTTAATGATTTCTAAGATCGTGGCTTGCCTAACTTCTACGAGTATGCGCCATCACGACTCCCGAGGGTGAGAAATCCGGATCGTGACACATGTATATACTAATAAAGACATATAGGTATAATTAAACATCCATATTCACATATTCAGTCAATTCAAGCACACATTCTTTAATTCAAAAAGATTGGGAAATTAAAACAACTGAAATCCCCATAAGTATTTAATATTAGTACTTAAGCTAAAACTGGCATCTCAAAGGTCCCAGCTAGTACCAACTTAATACTGAAAATCCACAAAAACACCAAACTGGAAAAGTCAAAAACACCATTGTTCAAGCTACAACTGAGAATATCCCCAGCTACAACCTGACTAATACTGAAAATCCACAAAAACGCCAAACTGGAAAAGTCATGAACACCATTGTTCAAGCTAGAACTGAGATATCCCCAGCTACAACCTGACTAATACTGAAAAAAAACAAAAAACACCAAACTGAATAAAAATTTGATAATTCTACTCCCCCGTCTTGTCCGCCAAGCCAATCAACGAGAACCATGAGTTACTATCTCATGGTGTCAAAGCAGTCCTTTTGCAAATAGGACAACAATTCTTGCCCCTCAGCCACTTTCTGATGCAATCATAATGGAATTCATGGCCACAGTCAAGTTGTCCAAGATTGTCCCCGTCGCCAAAAGTATCCTATATATACACATCCAAAGAGAAAGAATCAGGTTGCAAGCAAGCTTAAAACTGAGGAGGACAGCTGAAAAAGTTTGGTGCTCTTTACCAAGCATACACAGCAGGAGTCATTGCTATCGTTCATGTTGGGCGATTGATGATAATACTTGTGCTGCTTCAGAAGTGTAGAAATAACTCTCTTCTTCAATCCGGTGCTTGCATCTCCCATATGCTCTTGAAGTGCCAACAATTCCTAAAACACAAACCACCCGTTATTTGAGAAAATATTTGATTTGAGTACTTTAAACCATATCACACATTCATGTATTGCGGCTCATTGCATTAATTACCTCATAAGATAGATTCTCAGTATTAACATGAATGGCACCCTGTTGAGCTGCCTCGTGTTCATCTTCTTCATTTTCCTGTAATTTTGAGCTATCAGTAGCAATGACTCATTTTGCGTACCATCTTACACAAAATCGCGTGAAAACATATGAATGGAAGCTCTACATTTCACTTTGTCTTGCACCAATGTATGAAATAGCATATCTAACATGCAACAACAACAACGACAACAAACCCACTGTAATCCCGTAAGTGGGGTGTAGGGAGGTAGTGTGTAAGCAGACCTTACCCTTACCCTATAAAGGTAGAGAGGCTGTTCCCAATAGACCCTCGCCTCAAAGGAACAGTGAAAATAGAGCACAAACAATAGCAACAACACTGTAATAGGGTAATGGAAGAGCATATCTAACATGCGAAGACTACTTTTGGCAACCCTATTTTGATGAACCACAAGCTTTTAATGTTCTTAAATCGCCAATTGGAAATGAACAGTATTTAATAGTATTACTAACATAGTTAGGCTAAGCCGTTACAAGTGCCTCATGCAAGCATAATATGGAGTTATGGATTGGTTCAATCATGCTGGTAACAAGTGTAGATCATATATCCAAGTCTTAATTCACAAAATCTTATTTTAGCCAAATAACACTAAAATGAAAAGAGGTTGAACTGGCAAGTGAGATCACACTACTTCCTTATTATCATACTAGGTAAAGTATGCAGAATGCTGACCTCGATAACAATGGGTTGATTTCTGCGCCCTGGCTCCCTCACAGCACCAGCCTATGTGTTGAAGTTAATTGGGTGAGAGTCACCAATAATTATAAGAAAACGAAAAGTATGCTTCAGATATGCCAAAGGAAAAGAACAATGATAATGGAAGTGAGTATTAATATTTCAAAAACAGTCAACAACGTGTAAATATTATGAAAACAAACCTATTTACGTGCAGTAAATGCATGTCTTGTTAACAGCCTATGTCACAAGCAAGCACTTCATAAACCAAGCCACATACAACACACTATCTAGGAAATTCATTGTAGGAAATTCAACCAGATAACAAGGAAAGATGTACCGAAAGGGGCTCATGCTATATGTATATATATATATTCTCTCTAAAGCATCACATGGAATAATAGGAGAAAAAATCAACATCTTAAAGAATCTAAAAGTTTATTAAAAGCATAATAATTAATCTTTCTAAAAAAAAGGACGTGTACTAAAAGCAGGTAAACTAATCATAAAGTGAAGTATACTTTCATGCCTAAGAACTTCAGATACAACAAATCAACAAGATGAAGTATCTCCGAAATATTGAACGCAGTGTGTACTTTAAAGGAGAGGGCGGATTGAGGGAATATTTTAAGGGAAAACTTTTCAGCACCAAAAGATGGATGGCTAAATAAACGAGAATATCCATGTAGTAAAGAGAATGGACTGAAAGCTCAGTGAAATTAAGAAAGTGAACAGTATTCATGTTATGATTGAAGAACTAACCGCGGACACCAGCCTATCTCTGTTATCAGCAGCAACAGTTTCCCCAATTACAAGGGGAATTGATGGAGGATGAATGTCATTGAACTCTGAGCGCCTTCTAAGAAAATCAGCAATTCTTCTTGTCCTCAGTTCATTTGCTGTCAAATCTCTAATTGCATCACTTGAAGGCTGAATAACAGCACTAGATTGATATCTTGAAGCATATGGTGCACCACTTGAAGGTTGAATAACATCATTAGATTGATATCTTGAAGCAGATGGAATATCACTATGGAAGTTTGTATGTTGCTCAGTGAACATCAAATCTGTAGTGTTTTCCACCAGAGCTATCCTTGAAGCTCCAGGAAAGTGCGTACTCTGAGAAGGTGGAGCTGTTGCAGCATGCCATAACCCTTGCATTTGAAGAGAGCTCCCTGCATTGTTTGCTCTAGGGATGCGAGGAACTGAAGATGTCTCGACAAAGCTTGAGTTAGTCATCCAATGTACAGGTGAACTACGTCTCTGATTCAAAGGCTGGAGTCCAGCTGATCTTGCATTTAGCAGAGAGGACATCCTGCACAACGGAGTTGGTGAATAGCGCTGAGTATTTCCAGCAGATATTCCGTGTAGGTCTATGCTTAGCTGACGCTCCGGAAGACCGGGGCTGGTATTTCTTGCGAAGTCACTCACAGCACGAGAAGTTCCAGACATGGAAATTCCTCCTGTTGTGCCCCTAGGAGCGATCTGGTTTGACTGACTAGGAACATGACGATTTCTTGTGCTTGAGCTTGAGCTGCTGGAAGTGCTGTCACGTGCTTTTCTCTTTCTTCCGCAAACGCACTGCTGATTATGCCTCACCTCATTTAGATCAAATCCAACTGGCCCATCTATCTCAGAGTCACCGCTGTCAGGAACATATGGAACATTCAGATCTATCAAAATACGGATAGAATCAGAAGAAGAGCTTTCTGAATCAACTGATGTAGTCCCATCTGCAGCCAAACCAGTACCAACGCCAAGAGCAGCTGGCGGGGCTGTAGCAAAATCATTGCTACCATTAGGAGTTCCGTTAAAGGCTGTATTTCCCGCATTGGAATTGTATCTCTCCATTTGAGAATGCGCAACAAGTTATGTAGCTTACTTCAAAAGAGCTAAACCACTCTATCACAGATAATTTCCTGAAATTTCTCGCCGGACCTGTAATTTTACCACGAAATGCAGTGTAAATGTCTATAAAACTGGCTCAAACACGACTTTGCAAATGAAATTAATTACACTTCGTCATACCATAGTAAACAAGAATATATAGAAGGTGCATGCACAAAGAGAGGAAAAAAAATAGAAAAGGAAAAGGAAACATAGGAAAAGCTCTAAAATATGTGAAATCTATAAGTAAAACTCACACATACATCACTTCTATGTATGTCATTTGCAATGATGTGAGAACAAGTTCGATGTAAGTTTGAGTTATCAAGGATTCTAGAACGCACATAAGTCTTATAAATTCCAAAGTAAAACTACGAACAATCTCATATTATCATTTCTAACCGTAGTACATTAGAGGGGGATAAGATGGGTATAAGTTGTTTGCAGGGCTAAGAAGAAGAATCAATATAAGTTGCTGCGCGGCTGCACCATTGCCAAATATTAAGTCTTAAGCATTAGACATCCTCAAGTTTTCTTATTTTTTATGCACAACAACATAACTATTTTCAGAATGCCCTTAGGAGTAAGTTGTCAGCAGGATATAACCTTCCATTTGTTTGAAGACCCTTTTTAACATGACACTGACTTCAAAAGAATGATATAGTTTTGGAAACTCAGCAATAAATAGTCTTGCATTACACGAAATTAAAATGTTAACCGCAACATCTACAGAGTTTGTAGTTACTTATGATTCACAAGCCAAAACACACGCTCACATTTCTACTACCATCTAGGTCAGCTTCCCCCACCCCAACTCAAAAAGGAAAAGATATAAAAGTAAAAACGGCGTGCCTATAGTGTCACATTGAGGCTATTGACTACCAAGTTGAGCAAAGATTGTTTAAGATACTAATTTCCAAATTAAACTTGAAGAATTTACGAATACTGCTTGTCATGTAAAAGTTCACAAGAAAACCACTTGCCAAATAAAGAGCTAATAAATTTTAGGATGATTGAGGCAAACACTCCATATAGAGACATTGAACAAAACTTCTCAGTAATCCGCAAACCACATGAAAGTTGACCATGGCAAATAAATCAAAACACTGAAATAAGCAGAGAACTAATGTTGAAACTTTTAGTAAGCTAACACTTGATATACCACGAATCAGCCAACACCTTTGTTGCAGGAGCGTCTGAGAATCAAGCGGTCTTGTCTTTGTGGCTGCTGTGCTGCAAGAACAAAATAAGCAACTTTAGCCTCTATTCAATATGTTTTATAATTGAGTCTCCACACAAAATGATAGAACAAAACAAAGACATGAGAACATTTCTAAAACAAATAAAAATGGAGAAGGAATTAAAGAAAACAAGGCGAAAAACCACACACATAAAATTTCACTCATGAAAAATCAGAAACAATCACATTTGAGAAGTTTAAAACATGAAATGTTTAAGACCAAAGGAAGAACAGTAACACTAAAAATAAGCAGTAGACTGATTACCACATGATACGAATGATATCATTCTGATAACAAATGGAAAAGAAAAGAATGATCCACAAGCCTTGTACAGCAAAAAGGAGTGTATGGACCTTTTCTCTTCCGGCTTATTTAAGTGGTACACTAAACCTCTCTGGGGCAGGATGCAGGGAACAACCATGGATTTGCCTCTTAGACGTAGGTAGGTTTATATGAACCTAGAAGCATAGACTAAAACTTACAGATCTAGCGGTATTAAAACCAACATGTGGTCTCGGCTTAAAAACTTTGATTCATAGAACTTAATGAGCTCATAGAGCAGTGTATCTACCAAATCTGGTTAAATGTTTTATGAAAAATACTTTTTCAGAGATCAGACGATGAGAGCATCTGATAAAACATGATTTCTCTCAAAAGACAAGAAGTGGCGCAAAGAATTGAATTTTGAAAACCAAAACCTCTATCAAATCCTAATTCACAGAAGAAAAATGTGTAAGGCACATGATGATAATCCGACAAGCCAGTGGATTAGTCGAGATGCACGCAAGCTGTCTCGACACCAATCTTATCCCACACACACACACCCAAAAAATTGGTACAAAACTAATCTAGGGATGAATGTCATAACATTCATGACTTGAGACATCATCAGAAAGCCAATTCTTGTTCCAAAAAGAGATGAAACAGGAAATAAATTAAATCAACAAAAACTCATCATAAACAAACCCGATACCTATACAGATGGGAGATAGCAGGTATCCGGTGGAATAATCGAGGCGCGCAAAAACTGGCCCGGACACCACCATCAATAAAAAATAATCATAAACAATCAGGGTATGTAAACATGCATGAAAAAATAAAAAAAACTGGTGCTAACCAATTATCAAGATAAACCAACAAGATCATTCTACAGACAAAAAAAACAAAACAAAGAACCAATGAAAACCATAAACAAGACTCACCATTTCTCACAAGAAAGCAAAAAAGGAGAAATGTGTGAAAAATGAAAGGCTAAAGGGAGGGGATGAATTTATACTAGAAATTAAACAAGTGAGTGTTGTAATTTAATTTATTAAATTTAGAGATTGGCAAGAAAATAATTACAACCTTTTCAAGAGTGTAACAAACCAGAGAGGAGCCTTGTGTGTAACCAGCTGTATGCTGATGAAGCAGAGTAGTGAAACTGCCATTTTCATCCTCATTAGCCACCATCAAGATTACATCTATCAGATTACATGAAATATGTTCTTACTTAAAAATGCTGTTTATAACCATTTGTCTTTTGCATAACGATTTAGTTTCTTCTTTGTTTGGCTTTTGCTGGGCTCATTGGTCTTTGCTCTTTGTCCAGTAAATGAATATTTCATCAATTTATTAAAGTTGACTCTAACAAAAAAAAAAAAAATCCGACAATTTATTGAAGTTGACGAAAAAAAAATTATTTTAAAGTTGACTCTAAAATTAAAAAAATTATTTCTTCATTAATAATACTAGGGCTCGTGAGAACAAAGTCTAATAAAACATCTCATGTATTTTATTAACCAGCTCCTTATATATTTACATCTACTTTCTCATTTTCATGATGTTATTTTTCCTATATTTTTTATTGGAGGTAGTGATATTGTGTTTTTGTGTTTTCGTTTTCTTGAGCCGAGGGTCTTTCGGAAACAGCCTCCCTACTTCTTCGGGGTAGGGGTAAGGTCTGCGTACACACTACCCTCCCTAGACCTCACTAGTGAGATTTTACTGGGTCGTTGTTGTTGTTGTCGTCGTCTCGTTATATATTGTAAATAGACACATGAAATTATGTCCTTTATTTTACCAATCTCTCACGAAAAGAATTATATAATTAAAAAATTATTTGTAATAGGTCATTAAATCATCTCCGACAGATTTTCGAACCCAAGAAAAAATAATCCTAAATCACTCCATGTATTTAACTAACTAAGATCATTTTATCATTTTTGTTTCTGTACAAATAGTGTACATCTAACTAATTATGAGGAAATTTGCATATTAATTTAATTATGTGGAATTTAATATGGAACATAATAAAACAGTCTATTCTTTTTGTTTAACGGTTTGGCGCAAGGCTTGACTCTTGTGTAGTAAATTCAAAATTCGAAAAATATTGTTGACCCAGAATTACAAGATGACCTGTCATTACTGTCAGGAAAATTTAGTTAAGATTACATGGATAGCATGTATTAAATTATAGGGAAGTATTGGGATAACATGTATTGGATGATAAACTTATAGGGAAATTTACTTATTAAATTACTCTTTTTGTTTAGATTTTGGGCTCAGTCCTGACTCTTGTGTTGTACTGAACTCCAAAAGATATCGTTGCTCTCTAAAATAAATAGATGATTTTGTCATTACCATTATGGCTCGTACGTCTTTTTCACCGAATAATGTTTACCCGTAAAATGATATAGTTAAATTTGTAACATGGTTTATAGATACGTGAATTAACTTGATCCAAAAATATAAAATAAGTAAGAATAGAGTCAAGATTATAACAGAAATACAAGTCTGTTGTATGATTAGCCTCTCCGAAAGCAATAATATGAACAATATTAAGAACAAAGGAAAGCAAGTAATTTCATAATATGAGAGCAAATTATAGCCTTTGAGTACAGAAGATTTTTTCGTGTCCTACAATGGATACTAATTCTCCTATTTATAGCTCTATTTAGGGAGCCAAGATCCCCAAATCAAGTTCCTCTTTGAAAGAGAAAAAAAACCGTCATTGATGGTTGCATAACGGTTGGCTATAAGTACATAGATTCTTTGTAACGACTGCTCATTGAATGTCGTCTTTCCCAACCGATGTCTTCCTTTCAAACCTTTGTTATCGGTTCCCATGCCTTCAGAATTTATACAGCACCGAGCTCATGTTTGTATCCGATGTCAATTATTTGCTGCCTCATATATTACCTGTCTCCAGTTACACGTGTTACCTCGTAATCCATCTACCTGTCGCTAACAAATTTTATCCTATACAAATAGTCCCCTACTTTTCGGTGACAATACTTTAGTGTTACCGAAAAGTAGATAAAACTTCTTTCCTTAGCGGGTAAGTTTCTAAATAGTTTCTGACATTTGAAAGGACGCACGTCTCTTCGTATTTAATGACCCGACCATGTGTTACCCCATGATTTGGAAAAATATTTTCGTCGGTTTTCAAGGTAATCATGACCATTAATTATGTCGCTTATAAACTATTCCCTTACGTCCCTCTTCAAATTATGAGGCAAGCAGGTAGGAAGCAAGTCATACCCAGGGTCGACAAGATGAGCCATCGTCGAGCTGACTTCCAAAATGATGATAGTCCCCACAAGTGCCAAGCCGAGCACATGTGACACTGTAAGATCGTAATGGAGAAAGACACCATTGAGCCAGACAGATATCACACCGGTTGTACCCCTTTCTATTCTAGTTGGTTGGAAGACAATTGGGACGGTCTGGGCAAGCCAGGGTTCGTTCAAGGCCACAGAATTATAGATGAAAAGGCCGAGGCGCAAGTTAAATGCAACCAACTGGGCAAAAGGATCCGTGAAGAGAGCGAACACCGCGAGATACACGAGTCCAACAAGAAGCTGATTGAGGAATGGAAAGACATGGCTATCAGTGCCAACAAAAGGCTAGGATACTTAGAGCGAGGCATAGTAGAACTAGAGGGAAAATTTCTCAAAAGGGTTGAAGACTGTCAAAAGGTTGAAGGGACTGAAGGTGGACATCTAGCCAGAGCATACTTGTTGCTGGGACTTCGCGATTTGGGGAAGCTGTTCGAAGGAGCCAAGGATGTCGAGACTGGGGAAGGTCCTTCTGGGACCAAATAGATAGGAATTTACTTTTTCGCTTTATGAATGTAATAAGGCCAATGGCCCAGATTCGGCATGGTCACCAAGGGACTTCGTGCCTCATATTTCTGCAAGGCAAACAAGGTTAGGCCCTTACCCCCACCAGACTCGACTATTTAACATCAACAATTAGCATGAAGCATTTAGTTCTCCAAATAAATGCACAGAACGTGATGATGTCCGTTTGGGTTTAGGGAAACCCAGTAGACTTTTGGACAAGGCTATCTTAAAAGCTATTGTGCGGACAACACTTTTAGCCTGGCTAGGTTTGACCATGATGCATGCAACAACAATAACAGAGTAAGGTTTCTATGGGGTTTTAGACTGGTACCCTTGAGCAGACAACTCAAGGGGGAAGGCACGGAACTGTCGACTGCACCGCTGATCGATTAGTTTTACCGCAAATAAGCCTTTCCGAATTTAGAGGGTAATGATATAGGAAGGGCGCAACCACTCATCAAGCGTTGCTATAGTATTTTGTTTGGCACGAGTGGAGTATGATGTTGAGCATGATTATGCCATAATTAAAAGCATCTTGTCATGTATTTGCACGTTAAGAAAGCGATAAATACATTAGTTTTATAATTTAAAACGGTTATAAAGGAAGGAAACAAGAAAGATACGTTAGTTTGCTTTTGAAGAAGAAATTAAATGCTTAAAAGAATTAAACAAATAATTGCACATAGGAGGGGTACAAATTCACAAAAGCGGTCTGAAATGGTAAAAGCCTAAAAATCCCCAGCAGAGTCGCCATGCTGTCACGTCCCCTTTTTCTCGCGGAGTCCGGGTTTCGACATTCATGGGGGAACAACTCGTTTCCTTTTGGGAATTAGGTATTTGAAGAGTCGCCACCTAACGGATTATGGTGCATTAGGGCACCTAGAGTAATTAACTCGTGTAACCAGTTTGCATTACCAGAGACTTGGGTAAGGGTTCGAAATAACCTTGAGGGGAAGGTGTTAGACACCCCTCGCGGTCCACAATGGTGGGCCCCGGCCGAATTTTAAACTTTGTGAGATTATTTATTGATTAATCTAAGTGATTGAACATGCAAATGATCAATTAGTATGTTAAGCGAAAGTGTTGAAAAAAATAAAGGATGAAGAGAAAAGAAAAGAGTTTGAGCAACAAAATAGCATTTAGCATGAAAAGTGGGATAATTTGGACAGAAGCACATTTTATTAACAAAGAAAGTGACTACGATATTGCTTTATAAATATAGAGGTGAAGTAGTTTTATAAAATATATTCAATCTTTTATTTAAATACTCAACTCAGAAAAAGCAAAGAAGTCCCAAGCATAATACAACAAAATAGTTAAATGTATGGTAATAAAATAAGTCAAAGCTTGCGACAAAAAATTGGATCAGAAAAAAAAGTAAAATAAAAGAGGAAAAAAAAGATTATGAAAGTGGTATATATGCCGATGCATGAATGCACGAAAGTAAGAACAAAACTTAAACTACTGTTTGAAACTCAAATGCTGAGATAATTTCAACTTATTGTTTCACTTATACCCATATACATTATTCACATAAAAGACACATAATTTACGATTATACCGAGTATTGACATACATAGCGTTCATACAAAGAATCCTTCAGGTAGTAAAGTATAACAAGCAAATGGAGAAACCTTATGTGACCACCCAAAGGGTCATCACCTGTTTTCTCTTTTATTCCGTGCTTCCGAGGCCTTGAAAACCTCATTTTTACTTGCCTCGATTTGCGTGCGCAGTCCGGGCGCGTAGCCGGAAAGCTTAAATATGAATTCTGTGTAAAAATTGATGAATTTTGATATTAATATAATTAAAGTTGACTTTGGTCAATATTTTGGGTAAACGGACCCGGACCCGTGATTTGACGGTCCCGGAGGGGTCCGTAGAAAAATATGGGACTCGGGCGTATGCCCGGAATCGAAATCCGAGGTCCCGAGCCCGAGAAATGAATTTTTAAAAGAAATTATTTTTCTGGAATTTAAGATGGAAATTTGAAATGAAAATGGATTAGAAAGTATTGGTATCGGGATCGTATTTTGGTTCCGGCGACCGGTACAGGTCTTATATGTGGTTTAAGCGCTTCCTGTGAAATTTGGTCAAAATCGGACGTCGTTTGACGTGTTTTGGACCTAAACATCTAAAAATGAAGGTTTATGAAGTTTGATGAAAAAGTAATGATTTTGAGGTTTGATTTCTCGTTTTTGATGTTATTTTGGCGATTTGATTGCACGGTTAAGTTCGTAGGGTGTTGTTGAGTTAGTGTACGTATTTGGTTAGGAGTCCCGAGGGCTCGGGAGTGTTTTCGGGGGTGTTCGGGGTTGTGGAACTTAGAGAAAAAATTGCAGAAAATCACTGCTGCTGCACCAGTTCTGGTGTAACCGCACCTGCGGTCCTTTGGCCGCAGATGCGGACTCGCAGGTGCGAGCAGCGGCTCGCAGATGCGGTCTCCTTTGCAGACGGATTCCT